CGATCCCGTCTGCAATACGAGTAGCAGCAGCAATGAAAGTCTCCATGAAGTCTTGAAAGCTGTGCTTCCTGGTATTGGCAACTTGGATGGCGCCAGCTTTTCTTCTCGAGCCTCCTTGCAATGGACGCGGACCAGAGACAGAGCGACATCAGCACCACATCTGGTAGAAGATTTCTTCCATTCCGCCACTCGACCCGGGACTTCATCCAGTCGAACCATCAGGGACTCGAGGTCGTTCTGAAGCATCGTTCCAGGCCAAAGTGATGTGTCGATCCGCGACATCGCAACCTTCAGCCGAGCAAGATAGTCAACAACGCTGGCAACACGAGACTCCAGTCAGAGCACGTTCATAGCAGCCTCGTCCTTCACGAGAGAATTGGCGGGATCCAAGCCTGGCTCCACTCGACTGGTTTCCTCTTCGAAGCTCTGGCAGAATTCTGCAAACACGATTCAAGAATAAAACAGTGGCCTTGCGCGGGCTTGGTAACTGCAAGACCGTCGGGTCGGAATAATTACCTTCGAGCATGACGAACAGCTTCTTGGCGAGTCCACCGAGATAAGCCTCCAGATCGTTTACCTTCCCCGCCAGCTCACCCGCCTTGTCGTGCAGAACCATCTTTTCTTTCTTCAGTCGACTGACCTCTCGATTAGCTGTTCCGTGAGTAGTTTTTAGTCTGGAGTTCTCCTGTTCAAGAGTTCCGACCGAAGCCAGTTTCTCTTCTGCAAGCTTCGTTTTGCTCGAGGCCTCCTTTTGTGCTTCGGCAAGATCTTGATCCTTCTTCTTCAGAGCTTCCTCCAGTTCATCTACAGACCGTCGAGTGAACTCAACATCAAGAATGGGCAAGAAAGGGAAGTCACTCGTCAAGAATGAGAAACCTCGCCAGCCATACCTTTTGCTTCGTCTCGCGCCTTCTGCAGGTTCTGTTGAGCGAGCTTCAAGTCAAGGTCGAGCTGGATCTGTTTGTTCTCCAACTCAGTGTAGAGAGCCACAAGTTCATAGGATTTCTGCAAAAGTCAGTCGACAGAGGTCCAAGTTAAGTTGCTTCCGAGTAACCAAGAGACAATGATGACGTTTCTAAGACTACAGCTGAATCAAAAACATTCAACAGTAGTCTCGGGGACTACACCCAGTGGGTGCACTCAGCGTGCCCCCACTGGTTTTGAAAAAAAATCGACTGCCCGCAGTCGACCGGATATAGTTTCATTCGACATGGCCTGGCCAGACCAAGTGAAGCAGTAAAACCGCAGCAATGCAATATAAAGACTACAGAGTACTGCCAGCAGTCCACCATAGTCTCGGGGACTACACCCAGTGGGTGCACTCAGCATGCCCCCACTCGACCAAAAAACTTAACAGAAACACCCAGTGGGTGTACAGATTTAAAAGATCTTCGGAAAAGAGATTCTTCAGTCAGCATACCCTAACAGAACAAGCAGTGAATCGACTGACTTGGACGTTACTCTGAAGAGCTGAACTCGCGTCATAAGCCGCTTGGCTGGCTTGTCGAACCACCTTGACCTGCTCCATCATGATGCCTGCCTGGCGTATAGCTTCCTTAGCTGCACCCACTTGGTCCTCAGGGACGTGGTGTGTGGCGAAGAGCGAAGGCGGATTTACGGTCGACGTCGAGGGCCGCGCACTCGCCAGAGGATTGGCGAAAGTCACAGAAGCCCGGGTGGTATCGCCACCGTCTCGAGCTACGGCCTCAGGCGCCGGAGTGGATTGTGGAGTCTCGCCAGCCGACGCTTTCCTGTTCCGCCTCACTCTCAGCGGCGCTTCGTCTTCGTCGTCAGGAAGGCTAATAACATGAGGAGGAGCTATGAGAAAAATTCAATCGACCAGAGTTATAAGAAATCGTCAGCTGATTCAAGGCAAAACATCAGTAATCATACCAGGGTTGGAAGTAACAGCATCTTCCATCTCTTGATCGTCGTCCTTGGCGGAGATCTCGGAAGTAGCAGCACTGCAAATTTTGAAAGACCGTCAGTCGGTGCAGTGGATCGACCAAGGATCCGTCCACGGTCGACAAAGGAGAACAAGTTCTATCATTACCCAGAAATGGTGGGGACGGTCATCCTCATCTTGGGCAGAGCCTTGGGTGGCTTGGACGGCGCCGCGCGGGGGTGCTTGGGAGCTTTTTCAGTCGGCGCTGGAGAAGAGGTCCGAGGGCGCTTCGACGACTGCCCAACGGGAGCAGTCGCCTTACCACGTTCCCGCGTAGGGTCGTGTGTAAGCTTGGATCGCCCTTCCGAGCGGGGAGGTCCAGCTTCCTCATCCTCCTCCTCTTCGCTGGAGTCGACGCCGTCGTCTCCCTCTCCTTCGCCGTCAGACTCCCACTCCCCCTGTTCGTCTCCGCTCTCGCCTCCGCTCGCCTCCCCTTCCTCGGCCTGCCCCTGTGCTCCGTTGGGTGTCGAGTACATCTCTGTAGTTGCCTGGAGAATAGCAGACAAGTCGAAAGTCAGTCGACCGATTCAAAGAGAGCAAATGAAGAAATCAAGATCTCGGTCGAGGACACAAGGTCAGACCTGGTCCACCTCGTATGTACTGTCAAGCGGGACAACCCTCCTGGCTCCTCGGGGGTTGTCTTTGTTCCCTGTGATACTCGACAGCCACCCTTCCAGCATCTCATCGGTGACCTCCTCTGGGTGAACCCGAGTGGTGTCGTCGAGGCCCGAGTACAGCCACATAGGGTGGTCACGAGCCTGAAGCGGTTGGATGCGCCTCCGAAGGAAGACCTCCAGCAAGTCCATGCCGGTCACACCGTCTCGGACAAGCTGAACCACTCGACCAACCAGCACCTTGACTTGCACCTTTTCCTTCGGTAGCACTTTCAGAGAGGCAGGCTTTTGAGCTCGGTCCAGAGAGAAAGGGGGAAGACCAGTCGACTGTCCTGGGGTCACCTGGTCTTGGCAATAAAACCAGGTCGACTGCCAACCACGGACCGACTCGGGGAAAGTGATAGACGGAAAAGAACTTTTACCCCTCATCTGGATCGCCAGGCCCCCGCATAGCTGGATCACTTGCGTCCGTTCGTCACTCGACTTGGCTTTCTTTACCGATTGGGAACGGCAAGTGAAGATGTGTTTAAAGAGTCCCCAATGAGGGCGGCAACCCAAGAAACTTTCGCACAAGGAAACGAAAGCCGCAAGATACACGATGGAATCGGGAGTGAAATGGTGGAGCTGCGCTCTGAAGAAGTTCAAAAATCTCCGGAAAAAAGGATGAGGAGGTAGAGAAAATCCGCGATCGATATGGGTGGCGAGGAGGACGCACTCACCGTCACGAGGTTGGGGTTCGACTTCTCCCCCCGGGAGACGCGCAGCTTCATGGGGAATGACTCCCCCCTCGACCATGTCATCAAGATCTTCCTGCCGAATCACCGAGGGCATCCAGTCGCCCTGGATCCAATCCCTGGGCAGGGCAGTCCTCGAGGAAGATCCGCCCCGAGCGGACTTCTTCCCCTTCCCCTGCACCACCGCCTTCTTCGCGCGCTCCAAAGCCGACGTCTTGTCCTTCACCATCGTCGCCGACGAGGCTCGAACGGACCTACGGCGCTAGGGTGAGAGCGGAGGTGGCGGAGGACCTTGCGGGGGGAGAAGGAAAGGCGAGAGCACACTGTTGGGGAGCCCCGAGCCGGCAACTTATAAGGAGCCGCTTCCGAGTGGCTGACCGGTAGGCCCAGGCGATCCCGTCAAATCCCGCAACAGGCACGCGCGCGGTACGTGGCGAAAAAGGTGGCGCGGAGATCGAGGAGCTTCCATCCTATCCCGTCCGATTACTTCGGCCGCCCCCGTCCCGCTCGCTTCCCGAAATTCGAATCCCACAAAATCCACGAGCTGCAGAACAACTCATCAAACTGAAGAGCCCACTCGTGCCGGCACTCGGTATTCCACAAGTAAGGAAATTCACTCAACGAGAGACCAAGAATGGATCAAGGTGACCGAAAGAAGTTGACAACGTCATCCGTGACGATTGATCCAGTACAAGACATTCGTATAACGCTAAGAACCAGTCGGAAGGACCCCCAACTCCTTCCCCACTCGAACCTCGATTCATTCGGGGGCTAATGATGAAGCTATGTACCTAGGGTAAGGGCATGGACCTGTCCTAAGAGCCCTACCCAAGGACATCCCTGGAAGAAGTCACCTTTCAATCGACTTGAAGGTATCCCACTCGACGGGTTCAAGACACTCGACCAGGGAGCTACCACTCGACTACGAAGCCAACCACTCGACTGACAGGAGATCTAAAGTCACTCCGCAAGCAAACGGTCGGCCATTAAGTAGTCTTTATGGTCATCATAGCACTTTAATAGAGGCGTTACCAGTAACGCCCAGTCTTAATGTATTTTAACCCTGCATTACTGGGGACCGGAGGGGTCTGGCAAACTCTATATAAGCCACCCCCCTCCTCAGTAGCAGGGGTTGGCACCCCTGTAATTCATACACACATAATCCAGTCGACCGCCTCCGGGCACCGAGACGTAGGGCTGTTACTTCCTCCGTGAAGGGCCCGAACTCGTACATCCTAGTGTATTTACAACTTCTCCATAGCTGAGACCTAGCCTCTCCATACATACCCCCCCTACCTCATTGTCAGAGTTAGAACCACGACATCGACCGCCGGCAAGATCACAGTGACTGTAATGATCGATGCATATGCAGAAAGCACATACAAAACTCACCAGTACACTCACTATGTTTTACTGCAATCAGCTCAATGGTCGCTCCACCAACGCAAAAGAATACGTTATTGGTTGATCTTCATTTGACTAGCACAATTATAACTGACCGACTCCACTTGCTCACAGAACAATCTGCAAATACATGCTCAGAGAAGGACTACATTTCCCCCGGCTTTGCTTTCTACTTAAGGTAGACGTGATTACTGTGATGAACAACAACAAGAAGAAGAACAAGTACATTGGAATAAGAAGAGAAACAAATACAAGCATGCGCATTTATAGATGAGACAAGAGGCAAGAAACTAGGTAGCTCGATCACTGTGTTGCACTACATGATGTCTTGGATGTTCGCCCAGTGAACTCAGCTTTGATCTTCTTCAGCGTCACCACCACGTCGCGCATCGTCATCCTTTGGTCAGGCGAGTTGCTAGAACATAGTAAACCCAGCTCGAACAAGGACACAACAAAACCATTGTCCAAGCTGCAGTTCGAAAGAGAGGAACCTTGCACTAGGCGGCCATCGACGACCTGGAAAAGATCTGCATGAAATGCTTGATGAACCCACTGCCTAAGGGTTAGCTGTGCATCGAACATAGCGTCGGTCGGTCTTCTTCCGGTGAAAACTTCAAGGAGCATGATCCCATAACGGAACACATCGCTCTTCTGCGATGCTTTTCCAAGTGTTCCGTACTCTGCCCAAGAAAAACGTAAACCGGAATTAAAATGCAGTTTCTCGGCCTTATTGTTCTGGGTGGAGCCATAACTATCAATGTTTTTTAACATCTAGTTGGTTGAACAAGGTAACATGAGCTAGCTAATTAAGTACCTGGTGCCATGTATCCAACTGTTCCAGGCATGCTCCCAGATATCACTGAGTTGTCGTCGAGAAGCAACCTTGCAATGCCAAAGTCCGCCACATGTGCAGTCATCTCCTCGTCAAACAACACATTACTAGGTTTCAAGTCACAGTGCAAGATCAACTCATGATGATCATGGTGCAAATACTCAATTGCCATCGACACATCGAGCATGATGCCAAGTCTATCAAGGAATCCTAGGTGTAGTGTACTTTGAGAGGAGTGTAGGAGTGCCTCTAAGCTACCATTCGGCATGTACTCAAGCACTAGTGCTTTGAAGTCATGTGTGGAACATGTGTTGAGTATCTTTATCAGGTTGCGGTGTCGCGTCACGCAAAGCACGCGACACTCAATGTCAAAACTTTGAATGGCCTGCTCTAGTTGCATGTCAAGAACTTTTATCGCGACCACCAAGCCGTTGCTCAATAAGCCCTTATAGACTTTTCCGAAGCTTCCTGATCCGAGGATATTATGTTCACCAAAATTATTGGTGGCGTGAATGAGCTCCCGATAAGAGATTATCTGATGGCCCATGACATTGGTTGGATTTAAAGATGCATTGCACTCATCCTTCTTAATTTTCTTTTCAAGCCATAGGTATACACAAATGGCAATGGCAACCACAGCTAATATGAGGGTTGGGAGTAGGAATAGTGGGAAGTGTATAGCAGTTGAGGGAGATCTGCCAAGGCAAGGCGAAAATCGGAGGCGCGGAGCACCACATAGGCCAGCATTGCCAATCAAAGATTGTACCGTGAGGTTTGAGAAAATACCTCCCTCGGGTATTTGGCCTTCTAGCCTGTTGAATGAAAGGTTTAAGATAGTCAAATAGGTAAAGTTTGCAAGAAACTTGGGAATGGTACCCGAGAGATTGTTAAATGAGAGGTCTAATGATGCTAAGCTTTTTAGTTTTTCGAATGTGCCCGGAATTGAGTTTTCCAATGAGTTGTGGGATAGATTTAGGTAGGTTAGCATGTTAAGTTGTCCAAGTGATCTTGGGATGCTTCCTGTCAATAGGTTTGAAGAGATGTCCATTTGATATGTTTGTCTTAGACTAGAAATATCGGATGGTAGCGCACCAACAAAGGAATTGTGAGAAATATCCAATTTGATAAGTTTATTCAGGTGGAAAAAGCTCGTGGGTATTGTTGAGCTTAGCTGGTTATTAGACAAGTTGATGTTTTCTAACCAACTAAGGTTACCAAAGTTGCCTGGTATGCAGCCCGAGAATTTGTTTGCTTGGAGAAATAAATGTTGAACCCTCCCGAGCATACCTATTTGTGTTGGTATCAGACCTAACATGTGATTGTGGGAGAGATCAAGGTACAAAAGATTTTCTAACATAGAAATGGACTCTGGAATTGGCTCGGTGAATAGGTTGTTTGAAAGATCTATCACTTCAAGACTGCTTATGTTTGAAATTGCTACCGGAAGGCCACCTGTTAACTTATTATAACCTGCAGAGAAAATGGCTAAACGTGAAGTGATGTTTCCCACAAGGTCAGGAAGGATGCCGGTGAAAGAATTTTCTTGTACGTCAATGCCTTGGAGTTGTCTGCACTTGGAAAGATCTAACAAGAAGTCTAAATTCCCATCTAAATTGTTATCCGACAAATCAAGCACGTTCAAATCTGCATTATATTCAAGTGTACTTGGTCCTTGGCCGGACAATTGATTAGTTCCCAAATTTAGGTAAGACAATACGGACAAATTCCAGAGGGAGTCTGGAATGTTTCCTGTGAATTGGTTGTATCCAACATGCAAATATGATAGTTTCTGCATAAGACCCAATTCTCGTGGAATTTCCCCTTCCAAGTTGCCATTAGATAGTTCTAATGCAGCAAGACTGGTGAGATTGCCTAGATTAGCTGGAATTGACCCTATGAGGTTATTAAAACCCAAGGAAAGCTCTTCAAGGTGTGATAATTTGGCTAACCATGTTGGCACGACATCCACAAAGGAATTTCTACTCAAAGATATTACTTTTAGGTACTGGCACGATGCAAGCCCCGACGGAAACCGACCGGTAAAGTTGTTACGAAATAGTGAAAAAAATTGTAGCATTGGGAGGCTAAAAGTTTGATTGGTCGGAAATATTCCAGACAGGTTGCCGTTTCCTGCAAGTGCAAAAATTTGTAACCTAGACATGTTGTACATGGCTTGCGGCACTAGGCCGGAGAGTTGATTAACCTGTAGGTTTAAGACTTGAAGCATGGGTAGGGACGCAATGGTGTGTGGTATAGGACCCGATAGGCTGTTATTGCCAAAACTGATGTATGACAATGAAGGCGTGTTGTTGAACAAATACGGAGATATTTCGCCACTCAAGTCATTTCCATACAAATTAATTTTCCGAAGGTTGTGCATATGAAGTAGCAATTCAGGAGGGATCTGGCCCGAGAGTTGGTTCAAATCTAGACCAAGGAACTCCAGCCTCGTTAGGTTCCCCAGGGTAGGAGGTATGATGCTAGACAAGCTATTTCCACTGAGGCGAAGATACTTTAGACGATGTAGCCTGCCAAGTTCGGGTGGAATGGCGCCAGTGAGATTGGTGTTTGTGAGGTTGAGGACGGAGAGGAAAGAGAGGTTACCGACATGAGTTGTCATGGAACCAGCGAGCGGCATGCCCGGCAACGACAGAGCGGTGACCCGTTGCCTGCGCCGGCTGCACGAGACGCCGACCCAGTAACAAAAGGACGTGCCGGTGGTCCAGTTGCCGGCAAGGATGCCAAGAGGGTCGGCGAGCTGGGCTTTGAAAGCCAGCAGCGCGGCGAGGTCGGTGTCGCCGCCGGAGCTGCTGGCCAGGCAGGGAGAAGATGATGAGAGGACCGACAGTAGCGCGAGTATGAAGAAGATGGGAATGGGAGTAGACGATGTTGGAGAGGCCATTGATCCAGCTGTTTATCTGTGTGAGTGGGCATCAAAGAGTGGTGTGCGTGTGCATGGACTGGGAGTGTAGAGGTGTATTTGTAGTCTCATGTCTCCATGATTTCATCGCAGGCAACCATGACCTTGTTGCAGCCATGGCGCGCACGGCACGGCAAGGCAACCGGATCTTTCAAAGTCAGTCAAGCGCTTGCATGCATGTTCCAGGAAAGTCTCCAGGAAACACATGCTGCCGACTGCTGCAGCAGCTGATTAAACTTGTGGACCATGAAGTGAAATGCAGGAGTGGGTGGCCATTCATGGCGTGTAAGACTTGACCTGAGGTGAACTTGTTCCGGTTTGAAGTTTAGCTGCATGCGGCCAACCGGCCGGCCGGCCGGCCACTATAGACAAGGGGGAAAGTGTGAACCGGCCTTGCTGTGCGGGCGGCAGCTAGCCTTGACCGACGACGTGCGTCGTCTTGATCTGCTCTCGTCAACACCTCGGAGACTCCAGTGGTAGCTAGTCCACATCGTACGTAGAAGATGTTGGCGACAAAGACGCGCATTACGGAAACATGTAAATAGTGTCATTTCGTAGGGCATAACTTCACTTTCAAACGTATACGATCGATCAAGACACATGGCAGCAGAAAATTGCTTCGGTCGGCGATGCATGCCCACATCCGTGTAAATTCACCTCTACGCTTGTTTGTTCACCTGGACACACGATCAGCTGGTCAGCTCCCTCCTCTTTTCCCCGTTCTTTCATCTTCATGATAGTTTTCGGTCATCCCCTAAGTGGACGCTTATTTTGTCCCTATATGTTTGGATCGGACAATCCAAACATTTTCAATCCATCAACATAGATGCTCATACTGGGCCGGACACGGGCACATTATTCTTCCCTCGCTCGACC